GAGCCCCCCCTCGCAGTGTGTACATGTGATTGTTGTAACGTTCCCATGACCACAGAGCCACAGCCTTGTTCCCCTTAGCTGTTCACGCTGACCATTTAAAAACTCCCTAGCTACAAGTTCTGTGTAATTGTATGCTTTGTTAGTGAAATCAGTGTTGCACCAAGAAATTGGTCTTTGCAAAATTCCCCCTACCACATCCCCATATTTTATTCCTATATGTTGTTCCCTTTTGTTTTTAGTTCCTTGTTCCTTCACCCCCTGCTATGTAGCCCACTTGCAGTTTTTGCCTTTATAAGCCTTTTGCTAGTTTTGCTCAGGGTCAAGAGCTTTCTTGGCGTGAGCCTACTCTTGACCACATGCTAATAAAGGACTCATAATTTGACCTCGATGTACTAGCAATTCTCCTTTCTTGCACTTTGGCTATAACAGATACATGGGTTGGGGATAGGGGAAAAATTATTTCTTCCCAAACCAAGTATTAAAATGTTGAATGAAGGAAGAATAAAATTTGGGCATGGGTGAAACAGGAACAATATCTAGGAGACCCGTGACTATGTAGCATCCATTTAGCTCAGATCCACTCTAAGAGGCTCAGCTGGGTAACCCAGACTGGAGTGATATCCCCAGAATGGTATATCCAGGCTCCTGGGGCAGCCCTGGGACTAGAGTTCCTAAGATTCTAATTTTCTTTCCTTCAGTTGGGAGAAACTGCATCCCAGAAATGTATACAAAAATAACTGCTTAGTTAGGGATGTTTATAGTATTGAAACTTTTGTACAAGTTGTATTCATACAATTGTGATAAGTTTCAAAATCACTTACAATACTTTAAGTATTGTAAAAATGTCAGTCACTTTGTCAGTTTTACAATACTTAAAACATTTTTTAAAATTTGACAAATTAGAGAAAGTTATATAGTAGGTTCTTAATTACTTTTTTTTTTGAGAGAGAGAGGTGCTCTGTCACCCAAGGCTAGAGTACAGTGACACAATCATAGCTCACTGCAGCTGCAACTCAAGCAGTCTTCCCATCTTGGCCTCCTAAAGCACTGGGATTGCAGGCATGAGCCACTGCTCCCAGGCATGAATTTGTAATTTTAATTGAAATACTTAAAAAAACCTTAACTCAATAGCCATGTTTAAATGTGTAAAAAAAAAATCTCATTTTATGAAACTAAGGGTTTGATTTCAACATGAATAAAATGTCCAAGAAATTTGATATGTTGTATTTGAGTTTTAATTTGTTAGATTTATAAAAATATATAGAAAAACTTTTAATGCCAATAATTTCCAAATCTGCTTCTTCAGGTGCTTAGATGTTTATATTTTGAAATTATAAGTGAATTGAATAAAATTTTAACTAGTGGTGTTTAGAAGAATTTGATTAAGTTTATACATTTCTTATAAGTGAGTTATGCAAGGGAATTTTATTAGGTTTCTAAGCTCTATTTAAATGCTCAGGAAAATGTAATGTGTGCAATTTGTAGATAAGTTCATCATGAATCAAAAACTTTAAAAGCTGGTGTTGAAAAGCCACCTTCTTCCCCACCCTTCCCCCCAGGTCAGCACCTCTTGGAGACATCCCTTAATCTGGTTTTAGTCATCCTGTGGTCCAACTGTAACTCTAAATGCTTCTATTGTTTTATTTAGACAATATTTATTAACTTTCCCATGAGAGAGGGTGATTGAGTTCACTTATATTACTTTCTCTTCCAATTATAAAATTGAATACAATAAAATTATTTTTAGATTTTCTATAGTTTACAATTGTACCTCTAAATGATATATCATACTATTATTTCTTGCTTTATAAACTTTGGTGCCTCTACTTTCCTAATTGTTAAATGAGGATATCCACTGGAATACTGGTAAATGCTTTACAACCAGTTTTCAGAGGGTAAAATGTAGTATTTGCTCATGTCCATGTAATGCTCCCATCACAACTGATTACAAGTTGCCAACACAATGTCACTAACATGATGACATTGAGGTGGGAATTAGAGCTGTTCCAGCACACCTAGATTAGCACCCCAACACTTTCTGCTAACTTTTCTCCCTCCTCCACCTCCTTTCTTCTTTCAGGTGTTTTTTCTTGTTACAATGTCAAGACAGTAATCTATTCTGCCACCATAACAAATATTTTTACATGTTTAACCATCAGTTGATTGCAAAAGTTAAAAGCCATGCTGGGCACAGTAGCTCACACCTATAATCTATATAACCTTGGAAGGCAGAGGTGAGAGGATTGCCTGAGCCCAGAGGTTCAAGACCAGCCTGGGCAACTTGGTGAGATCTTGTTTCTACAGTAAATCAAAAAATTAGCTGGGCAGAGTGGCACACATCTGTAGTTCCAGCTACTTGGAAGGCTGAGGTGGAAGGATCACCTTAGCCCAGCAGGTCGAGGCTGCAGGAGCCATAAGCATGCCACTGCACTCCAGCCTGGGTGGCAGAGTGAGACTCCAATTCAAAAACAAAAACAAAAAATTCCATGAATATTTATGAGATTATATTATATACATACTGTTGGCCAGGATGTGTGTGAGTTTATATTTCCTACTCTGTGGTCTGATTTCATGGCCTCTGAGCCATTTAAATTAAAATTTTCTAACAGGGTCAAATGAATTTTTTCTTTTTCTTCCTTTTCTTTCCTTCTTTCCTTCTTTCCTTCCTTTTTTCTTTCTCTTGCTCTTTTTTCTTTTTTGAGATAGGGTCTCACTGTGTGGCCAGGTTGGTCTTGAACTCCTGGACTCAAGTAATCCTCCCACCTCAGCCTCCTAAGTAGCTGGGCCTACAGACATGTGCCACCACATCCAGCAGATTCCTTTTTCTTATATTCTATCAGTGGCATAAAATCATTCTACCTGCTTCATGGTTTGAGATCACAATTTTTATATAAATTATTTTATTTTGGTTTTTTAAAATTTTCTTTTTTCTTTTTATTTTAAGTTGGAGTCTCACTCTGTCACCCAGACTGGAGTACAATGGCACGCTCATGGCCACCCCAGCCCCAACCTGCTGGGCTCCAGCGATCCTTCCACCTCAGCCTTCCAAGTTGCCAGAACTATAGGTACGTGCTACCACACCTGGCTAAATTTTCTTTTTTATAGTTAACCAAACTGATGGACCTTTACCAAATCCTCACATGTTTTCATCTTCCCAACCATACTACCTTCTAGAGAGCATTTCTCTTTTTCCTGGAGATCACCTACCTCACCCCAATCATCCTGCCCTTATAGCACTGTGAGCATTTTCTTTCATGGGTTGCCTAGACTGAATGTACCATCTCCTGGGTCCCAAGATCCATTTATTTCTCTTTTCTTGATTTATCACCCAGTCCTTTCTTTTTCTCTCTCTTTTTTTTCCTCCAACTCATCAACCTTCACCTGGTGTGCAACCTCAGTCACTTTTTAAGAAGTGTTACGTGGAAAGCATTTTCTGGGGCTGTATTCCTGAAAATGTCTTTACTGTACCTCACACTGGGTTTGGTTTGACTGGGTATAGAATTAGAGGTGAAAATAAGTTTTGCTTCACTCTTTTGGAAGCATTGCTCCATCTTCTCCTTGCATTCAGGGTTGCTGTGAAGTGTGATGCCACACTAACTTGTGTGTCTTTGTTTTCTGAAATTTCATGAGGATGTATCTGTGGAAGCTATGTTTTTTATTTTTTTATTTTTGTACAGTGTACTTAGTAGGGCCTTTTAATCAGAATCCTTGTGTCCTTTATTATTTCTTTGATAGAATTTGCCACTCAAGTTTCTCTGTTTTCTTTTTATTTTTTAAAAACTCCTATTAGTTGGGTGCTAGACTTTCCATGTTTGTCTTTTCTGTTACATTTGCCAGCTCTGTGTGTGTCTGCCCTACATCTTTGGAGAATTCTCCAATTTCATTTCTGGTTGATCTATTATTTCTTTGGCCAACCAAAAACTTAACCTTTCAGAATTATTTTGTGTTCTCAGTTAGGCCCTTCCAAGACATTCGCTCTTAGATAATGGGTATAATAACTTCTCTGATCTCTGCATATATTTTATAGATTTATTTTATGCTTCCTTAATTAAGCATCTTATAGAGTCAAAGTGTGTTTTTGCTTTTTCACTTGGAATTTGAACCTTTTATGCCTCTACATATTTTTCATGTATCTTGTGATCTTTGATTGTCCATTCATATTTAGGAAAGAATTAAACTGACTCTTGATGGTTAGTATGTAATCTCTCTACTATTAAGAAGGGAAATGCATTTTTGAGACAGACTTTTCTGCTGAGCAGATGGTCTGATTGGGAGCTCCGTGTATGTGTGAGGGGGGCTGGCAGCTCCAGCCTACCCTCCCTACAAATGTCATTATGAGGAAGGTTTTCCCTAAGAGCCCCAACCAAATGGAAATCCTTACCTCTCCTCCACTGTTTTAGTCAATTACCTTAGGAAACCAGCCCTCTGTACTTTTGCTTGTGGTCATTGCCAGATATCTCAGAGCTGTATTCAGAGAAAGGAGTGGTAGTAGGTGGAGGGGAGAGTGGGGGTCTGACTGGCACAGTTGTCCTGAGTCTAGACTTCAAATTAATTGACCTCTCTGCTCACTCTTTCCCTCCACTCCATGCTGACACTGAGCCCAGAGCTTGTCTAAGGATAGGGAAGTCCTTTTATTATTATCTGGTTGCATCTTCCTCGGTTTGTTTTCTATCACTATTTCTCCTTCTGCTTTTCTTCTTTCAGAATTCTATGATACATACAGTCCTTCCCATTTATTTTCCTTACTGTTACAGGTTTATTTATTTTAGTATTTCCATTCCTCTCTTCAATGATACCTAGAAAAATAAGACATGGATGTGTGTGCTCAGTCTACTATTTTGAACCAGGAGGTCACTTAACTATCTTTGAATCCCTAATCCTGTGCCTTTATACTTTATATGATCACCCATCAATCACGTACTCAAGAGCAAGATCCAAGCAAATGACCAGTATTTCTGACAATTTTCTGCCTTATTTTGAAATGCATTATAGAATCTTACCCAAGATCTGAAGGGGGCTGGGAAGGATTAGCTCTTGAGTCCAACAGAAAGCGTTTCTGTGTGATGTTTCTTGTGTCATTCACATTAAGCACAGGATAACCCATCTGTCTGGTCCAGGTGTCCATTACTTCTCTCACTGGTAGATTACTTGCCTAAGGTTGAAGAAAGCAAAGCCATGGAGATTAACCAATTAACAAATAAGGGAAAATAAAAAGATAGAACGTTGAATTTAAAAAATTGGTAAATTATTTGTAAATCAGACAAAGAAATATTTGAGGATATACTCTTCCTTACCTCTTCCAGTGCTCCCCAGAAATCTGAAGTTTTTGCATTCTGGAATTGATATTTTGTCAAGTAAATCTGTAAGTAAAAGATAACAAACATTTTAGAAGTCAATGTTTGTTTTCTCATGCTTCCACAACATGAACTGAACCCCTAGTCATAACTACTAAATTCTACCACCATGGCACAAAAACAGCCATAGACAATATGTAAATTGGTAAGTGTGGTTGTATTCCAATAAAACATTATTTATTCACATTGATATTTGAATTGTATATAATTTTCATGCACTATGAAATATTCTTCATTTGATTTTTCCTCTATTTAAAAATGTAGAAACCTTATTTAGTTTGTGAATCTTAAAAAAAAATGAGTGGTCCACCCGATTTGACCTTCAGGCAGCAGCTGGCCAACCTCTACTCCAAGGGAGTGAATAAAAACCTTTTGAATAATAATTATAATGAGAAGAAGGAGAAGGAATAAATTGAAGACATTATTTACTTTAAAGAATAAGTCTTCACTCTTCAAATATTTTTAAAATGCAAATCTTTTAAATAGAAGCCTCTCCCTTTTGGCAGTTCTGTTCACAAAACCTCTTTCTGTACATGAGTTTTCAGATATAGTGTGATATATCCCTAGAAAAAAATTCCCAGTCTTCTCCTAATCCTATAACTGTGAGCACTTGGGGGTTCACCAGAAATCTTTCTAAAGTTCTGCTGTATCACTCTTCTGTTACTTTCTAAAATTGTCCACTGTGAAATGTGGAAAACTTTGGTAGAAATAGAATCATCTTAAGTGTTCTCAATTGTTAACTTTTCACATATCATTTACACTCTGTGTTGCTATGATTTTCAGTAGGAACTGTTTCTAAATCATGTTATCTTCTAAATTCTTCTTCTTTTCAGGCACAGAGAGATAAAACAATATTATTAGCAGGACACCAAGAGGCCTGGAAGAGAGTTGAAGTCAGTTTGGAACATTGCCTCCACATTTATTTTGGTTGAGTCACTTCTTGGCACTACCACCAGGGGGCAGGCAAAAGAAGGAAGAAGCAGTAAATACTTTCCCAGTTTTAGGTATTCACTTCAGAACGTTGCACAAATCATATATTAATTGAATAATTGGTATATCAAATTCTAATATTAAAAATAATTGACTACTTAATGTAGTAATTATTATAGCCATAGCTATGCATTAATGACAATTTATATTAAATAGTTTCTTCCTGAAATTAATTTAGAGGAGTTTATTTGTATACTCACAATGTCTCCAGCTTTGAAACATGCAATCTTGCAACTGAAAAGGACCTTAAATATTATTTGATACAGTTGTCCACATTTTTGAGAAGAGGGAAACTACCCTGCTAAACTCCCTGTCTAGAGAGGTGAAGAGATTTGCCCGAGATTACTATGAAGAGAATTCTGAATCTTATATCAGTGTGTGGTTTTCATCACTATTGTTGCTTTCGTTTTTTTCATTGCAATTTCTTGCTTCTCCTAAACCAAAGTCTTAATAGAAATTTATATAAATATTATATTAAAAGGAACTAAATTAGTGCTTCTGAATATTCTACATTAAGAAATTTGCTTCTAGCCAGGCACAGTGGTGCTTGTGCTCCCAGCACTTTGGGAGCTCAGGGGTTCGAGACCAGACCAGGCAACTTGATGAAATCTCGTCTCTACAATAAACCAAAAAAATTAGCTGGGCATGGTGGCACACACCTGTACTTCCAGCTATGTGGAAGGCTGAGGCAGAAGGATCACCTGAGCCCAGCAGGTCGAGGTTGCAGTGACTGTGAGCTGCACTGCACTCCAGCCTGGGTGATACAGTGAGACTCTGACTCAAAAAAAAAGAAAGAAAAGAAATTTGCTTCTTCACCTTGGAATGTAGTCATTCCAGTCAAAATTACATGACAACCTAGATCGTAATTCCTCACTGGTTAATATCAGTGAACAATAAAGAAAAGGAACAATGTTTCTATAACTAGTATCCTAGGAAGGGAAAAGATTTTCCAACTCTGCCATTCTTGCCTTATCAGGGATACTACTGATACTAAAAGAAAAAGAAAGGACATGTATATTTCTCAGTTTCTGTCATTGTTATGCATGCCCTGTTATTTATATATTTTTATGTACATGTATGACCTTAAAGATTTCCCAGTTGATAAGTTTGCTCTTATTTCCCTTCACCCCGTGTCTATTTTGCTGCGAGGTTGAGTTTAGAAGAAAACAAGCATGAAAGAGAATAGACACCTGGCCATCCCTAGGTTTAGTGCACATCAGGTTAGCTAACAGAGAGCCACTCTTGGCAGAAAGTTGGTATTTGCATGGGAGGGACCTTGAACTCCAACTTTGCAGACTGGGATTTACAGGCAACAATAATAGTGATGACAACAACTCAAGGAAGATATTGTTCAGATACTTGAATTATATGAAGGAATGTTTCAGTCAGTCTGAGAGCTTATTGAATGTGGCCTATATTGATCATATACTATTTTTAGATTTTAGCTAATGTCTGAAGATTGAAGGAAAAGAGTGAGTGTTTTGTGAGTTTTGTGGGGTTTTTTTGTTTTTTGTGGTTTTTTTTGGTATGACTTGTAGTCCACAGCACTGTAATAATATGAAAAATTAATATCTATTCATCCTAGTTCATTTTCAGCACCATCTGTAGTCACAATTAGGGTACCAGAAGACTTAGAAATATTTAGAACTTGAGAAATATTCGTTTTAGACAAGACTTTTTGAAAATTAGTTATAACATAGATACTGGCTTACGAGTTCCTAATGAAAGGTGCTCACAGTGAGAAAAGATGAGATAAAATTTGAGCTTGAAGTGAACAAAAACATTACAAGATGATCTCGTGTACACAGAACCACAAGTATAGCTTCTCTCTTTGTACCTATTGTCTACACAAAATATTTTATTTGTGGACAAAGGAATAAAATGTACTGATGTACTTACCAAACATTTCCTAAACCCTGGTCTTATTTCTTATTATGTTAATAGTCACCTAGGTATTTTAGTATTCGGTAAGAGGGAACCATTTTCTTTTGGAGCAGCGCAGAGAGGGCTAAATGTCACGTAAGACGGCAAGGTGGTAGTGGCCTTGTCCCGGGGAATCACATCCAGAAGCAGTCCTCCCTGTGGAAGCCGGGAGGGGGCGCTGCTTCATCCTGGTTTCTGCTCTCCAGGCTGGATACCCTCAGCAGGACTCTGGCCTACCTGGATTGTCTCGGTAGGGAGGTGGAACCGAAAGAGTAAGAAGACGATTCCGTTTCTAGGCTGGAACGGGGCCAACCTGCAGACAAGGCTATTTTGATCATATTTTTAAAATTCAAACCTGAGAAAATTTAAGACAACTGGCTTAGGGTCTGTTCGAAAAACAAAAATGAAACGGAGTGATACACTAAAATGGATGTGTGAAATGGTTTAGAAAGTTTATGGTCATTTCTGTTACTGAAAGGAAGCAGGCCCTTCATCGATTCCCTTGTAATAAGAGGACTGATTGATTGATGCATTCATTGATTGATCTGGGTCTCACACTATCGCCCAGGCTGGAGTGTGGCACAATCACAGGCTCATGGCAGTCTTAGCCTGGGTGATCCTTCCACTTCAGCCTCCCGCGTAGCTGGGACTACAGGTGGGCACCATCACACCCACTAATTTTTTTAGTGTGTGTGTGTGTGTGTGTGTGTGTGTGTAGATAAGGTCTCGCTATGTTGCCTAGGCTGGTCTGGAACTCCTGGGCTCAAGCCTTCCACGTCAGCCTGCCAAAGTGCTAGAATTACAGGCATGAGCCACCATGTGCCTGGTCCTGTAATAAGAATATTTACACTGATTTTTCCAATCCAATACTAAGAAAAATGTGTTATGCTCACTGTAAGAGAGGACTCTTATAGATAGATTCAAATTTTTGTATAATGACTCTATGGAATAAATTATGTTCTCTAAAATCCGTATGTTGAAGCCCTAACCCCCAGTGTGGTAGTTTTTGGAAATGGAGCCTTTGGGAGGTGCTCAGGTTTAAATGAGATCATAATGCTGAGACCCTTATAATGGGTAAGAGACACCACAAAACTCACTCTATCTGCCCTGTGAGGACACAGCGAGAAGATAGCCATCTACATGCCAGAAAGAGGGCCCTCACCAGAAACTGAACTGGCCAGCACCTTGATCTTGGACTTCCCAGCCTAGAGAACTGTGAGAAAACACATGTCTGTTGTTGAAGTCACCCAGTCTACGGCATTTGGTTATGGCAGCCCAATCTGTCTAATATAAGAAAGATGAGCAGTAACTAAGTAATCTGTTTAAGCTCCATGAGACTTCTGCTAAATGATAATTACAGATACAATGTAGGTACTCAACTAGATGTGAAATCACCTTTTTATTTTTATCCATATTATCTATCCCTAAATAAGAAAATTTAAAAGGAATTATCCTTAATGAATGACATCTTAACACACATCAGTCACACATCAGTGTAGTTTATTCCTAAGACCACTAAAAGTAGTCAATCATACCTGACATCCTTTTTGAAATTTCTCTGGTGTCAGCCAGTCTTCAAGCATTCTCAGAATGGAAGCTCCCTATGATAGGAAAAAAATGATAAACGAATAAAGGATATGCAAGGAGCAAACACCAGTTATCACTATTGTGACTAGTGTTTCATAACCATATTTGTGAGATTATTTCTTCAATATGATTCTGCTAAATTATATGGCTCAATAATTTTAGGATAAAAATACCACTTGGCACAGCTCCTCTATGTATGCTTCTAAAATAACCAAAAGATAAAGAGAAATTGCCAAAATAGCCATCATTTCAGTGTCTTGAGGTTCAAATAATTACTGCATTTCACCAAATAAACCAGCAGATGGGGCTTTCCTAATGAAAGAGAAACAGTCTTTTCAAAAATCACATTTGATTGAGGAAAGTAGTTTAGGATAAAATTATGGCGATTTCTTAAATATATTTTCATACTTGAAAATAAGAATTACATTTATCATAGGGAAATAGTCAAGGAACTATCTGGTCAAATAACTTAATATAAATAGGTATATAATTTAGGTATAAAACCCTTCTCTGTCTCACTTGGTTGATCTCATTTGGTTTCCTTTCATCTGAAGAATCTGATGAATAAATACCTCTGCTCTCTATTTTCTTTTCATGTGTTATAAGATTAGGGCTAAAACATACTATTTATAAAATTTCAAATCAATTTTCAAGTAACTGATCTGAAAAATATTGCCTTCCTACTTGTTATTTTTACTGTAATTTTCCTAACATTCTAAATTATTTTTGCACCTACTTAGAAGGCTAAAGGCTTATAAACGTTTATTTATTTCTGACTTAATATCTTAAACCCATGAAGAATCTGGGGCTCAGGGAAAAATTGATTCAAAAAAATATAAACTTCTCCCATGTGGGTTATTTGAAGAGGCTATAAGTAGATGAGAAATTTTAACAAAGATAGAATCATTGATAATGTGAAAGAAAAAGGAATAAAAGTATGAAAATTTACCATGGGAATAATATGAGAAGGGAAGCCAAAAATATGATGTTATAAATTTCAAATGCTAATATATAGAATTCTTTCACTCAATTCAGCTTTATATAGTATTCATTTTAATAATTATAATATTTTGACTTAAATAACAAAATGTATTACAGGATAGAAGAATGTAATAGTTTTCTTTCTTTTTTTTTTTTTTTTTAAGTGTAGCTGTTTATGTATTTATTTTTTGAGTTGGAGTCTCACTCTGTTGCCCAGACGGGAGTGCAGTGGCCACTCCCAGCCACCGCAGCCTCGACCTGCTGGGCTCCGGTGATCCTTCCACCTCTGCCTTCCAAGTAGCTGGAATTACATGCATGCGCTACCACTCCTGGCTAATTTTTTGATTTATTGTAGAGATGAGGTCTCACCAAGTTGTCCAGGCAGGTCTTGAACTCAAGGGCTCAGGCAGTAATAGTTTTCAATGGCTTTTGAGCAACTTAATGTAAGGAGTAAACCTTGAGAAGCTGAGGTGGAAAATGATGAAAAATAACATGTTTTTGTTTTTGTTTTTAAACAGGATTTACTGAGAGGACAGAAAAGCTCCCAGAGTGGAGGGGACCTGAGGGAGTTGCCCAAAAATAACATTTTAAATTATGTGATCTGAAGGCATGAAATACGTTTGAAGGCCAGACTATAAGAGATGTTGTAATAGAGAATGTGTCACATGAAACTTTGGGCTATAGATTTTCAGTGACTTTTCATAAAAGTTCAGTAGATAAGAATGCCTCATCTACAATATACTAACAAAGTCACCTTCAATTCTTATCTAAAAAGGAATAAAAGCGTTTCCTTCTGGGTTGGACTTAAATTTCTTTTGCAAGTACTAAAGGGATAAGTAGAAAAAGTGCTCATATATATTGGATTTCTTGTTGACCACAAAGAAAAAAATATTTATTGTCTTTTTAAAAAATCAAATAATACAATTTAAAATTGGATGCTTAAAATGTAATAATTGAAATGAAAGCAATTATAGACATAAATGAAAAGAGAAATTTTTAAAAATTTGTTTCAAAATCCTATATAGTCAGTATTCATCAGGTCCACTAAAAAGTACACACTACTGAATATTTAGCATCCAGAATAAGTTCTGCACTGCGTTCTAAAGCCTACTGGCACAGTCTAACCATTCTTGCCATTTTTAGGCACCTACTAAAATAAAAATTACTAAACAGGAAGGTGCTTAAAATAATGTCATGTTTCCCCCACCTTGCTATAGGATATTCCATCAAAAACAGATGTTATTTCAGCAGGCGTTGTTACAGTGACAACAATGGGATGGGAAGACATCAAAGAATCATCCTCTTGAACAGGTAACACATCTTCAAGCAACATCTGGTCACGCTGAAATGACAGAATGAACCAAGGAAATACAGTGCTTCCTTTATACTGGTTTATATTTTTATATATCACATATAAGAAAAATACATTCTCAGCGATCTGTCACAGAAACAAAGAACCAGATACCACATGTTCTCACTCATAAGGGGGACCTGAACATTAATCACAATAGCACAAGGAAGGGATTGGCAGTCATGGGAAACTGATGGGGAGGTGGGGCATGTAACACCACAAAGTGTACCTGGTCCTAAACAAGGGAAAGTGAGGACTAGTTGGAGACCCAAACTTCACATGTACATTGCCTATACTTTACATGAACATTACTTAAGTACCTAATCCTGACTTGTACCCACATCCTTATAATAACATAAAGTAAGTAAATAAACATATATAAGAAAAGCTGAGAGAAAATGAATACTCAGATTACTTAAAACAAACAGAAAGTCTCCAAATTAATCATATTTTGCATGGATTGATCGACATTGATTTTATTCTCTTCTTCTGTTTAAACTCTCTTGACTTCTTCCCCTATATGACAGGCAGAGAAGACACCAGCATCTGTGAATTCACTTTCTGCTGTGACTTTCAGACATGTGTCAAACTTTTCAAGCCCAGTTTCCGTATCTGTGTGGTGGGAAGGGTAGTATCACCTCACAGATTAGTTCTGAGAATTAACTGAAAATTAACTGTCAAATATTGATGTTCAGTTTTTATTTTTTACTTTACATCATCTTGTTATTAGAATTTGCATGGTTCATAACTAGTCAAAGAAAACATCAGCTTGTTATTTGGTTCTAAAATTACCTCTCATTTTACCCTTAGGTTTTTCTCAGCAATATGGAGTGGTTGACAGACCTAGCAGTATCATCAGATTTCCTTGATTCAAAGGCTCAGTCTTTCCACTTTCTAGAGATGCAAGCTTAAGCAAGTTCCCTCACTTGTTAAATGGAAGTCATGACAGCATACTTTTTGGAGATGTGCACGGCATTCAACGTTACAATTCAGGATAAGCCCTTGGCATAGTACCTGGCACGGAGTGAAAACCTAACACATTTGTTGCTATTATTTCAAATCTTAAGCAATAAGATTCTGAAACCTAATTCTGTTAAACTACTACAAATTTTAAAAACCAAACATTTTATTGGTCCTATTTAATTAAAAATATTTTCAAAAGAGGAGCATTCTATATTATCTTACATTTTCCAACTTTGTGGCTTTCATTTATAATAGACAAGGTATCAAGTAGTGACTGTCATGCAAGATAATTAGGACTAAGATATTGATTATTGTATACCTAAGAAGTTTAGGTAAGTAAAAAGCATCCTGTTCTCAGCATCAAGAAACCTGATTGCAGTCTTGATTTTGCTACCAACGTCTGTGTGATGTTGGAAAGTTGTATTACCTTCCTGGCCTTCAGATTTTTCACTGGTGAAATGAGGGTCCACTATTGTGGTACTTCTCAAACTCTCTTATAAAATGTCCTTATTTATCTGACTCCTCAATCCACAAGACCTTAAAATGGGAACTTCTTAAGAGCAAGAAACATGTTTTATTCATTATTCATTTTTTGATTCCCTCCCTAGGGTTTACTGAATGAGGAAGGGAAGGAGGGAGGGAAGAAGCAAGGGAAGGAAGGAGGGAGGGAAGGAGGAAAAGAAGGAAGGAAGGAAGGAAAAGAATAATTGTTGTGTTGGATGGACCATGTGATTAAACTTTATTTAAGAAATACATAACAAATGCTTTTGGAATTTAACCAGTGTTTCCGAAACACTGAAATTGGAATATTAGACAATACTAAAATGTTATAATTTCTTATAACAGTTTGATATAAGAAGAACTTTAGGTTACTTTAAGAGAGAAAATAGAGGACAAAATAATTTTCCATTTATATAGTTTATTTTTAATAAATTATAACATTAGATTTTTCTTTTTTTTTGAGTCAGAGTCTCACTCTGTCACCCAGGCTAGAGTGCAGTGGTACACTCATGGCCACTGCAGCCTTAAACTGCTGATCTCAGGTGATCCTTCTACCTCAGTCTTCCAAGTAGCTGGAACTACAGAAGCGCGCTACTATGCCTAGCTTATTTTTTGATTTATTGTAGAGATGAGGTCTCACCAAGTTGCCCAAGTTGGACACGAACCCCCAGGCTCAGGCAGTCCTCTCACCTTGACCTCCCAAAGTGCGGGGATTACAGGCTGAGCCACCGCACCCGGCTACATTTTTCAATGTAGATGAGTGGGGAGGATTTTTGAAATACATGGAGACATTTTTGGTTGTCACAACTGGGTCTGGCAGGTTACTGGCATTTTGTCAACAGAGGCCAGGGGTGCTGCTAACCATCCTACAATCCACAGGACAGCCTCCCACAACAAAGAATTATCTTGTCCAAAATGTCAACAGTTCCATAGTTGAAAAACCCTAATGTAGATACAATTTTTAAAGAAGTAACTTTTTTACTTTTTAAAAGTAGGCTAAGGAAACCCTAAGCTTTAGGCTTACGCATTTAATTTTTTATTCTGTCCAGTAGAGGGCAGTGTTCTACACAGTACACAACCTCTTGTACTTTTTCTACTTCAACCCATCCACATCGTTATACATTCATACATACAATCAGATAGGAATACTTTCATGATCTAAATATAAATAACATACCTAGTTTTTATTTATTTTTTAATTAGCATTCATAAATGTTTCTATCCCAGTCTCCTCAGGGACACAGTCTATGTAATATGTACAGTTGGGGATATTTTAAGGATATAAAATAAAGAATAATGCTCTTATTTCATAGAAAGAACTCACTCAAAGAAATTATGTAACCTGCTCAAGGTCATATTTCCCATCTGTAGCTAATGACGTGTTCAGGATTTGAACTTGAGTCTAACTACTAAGCTTAAGCTCTGATCTCTTCACCTCACTATTTCAGGCAAGCAGTTCACAAAATGAGACTTGGACATTTTTCAAAGGGTTAGCATTGCAGATGCTTTCTTGAACACCGAGTTAACACCGAGTTCTTTATGCTGCCTAATTTTTTTCCTGCCTTGATGCGTGCTTTTGAGTGACGCTGCTGAGGATACTCCCAGATTATGGTGCTCAGTGGCTCCCTAGGGACTGGGCAAAGGCAGGATTCAGTGCAAGCCAGTTGGCTCCACCTTCTCCTCACAATGGAACTCCCAACTCACCACCACACTTGCCTCCGCCTCAGGACCATCATCATGGTCCAAAGGCTTCAGTCTGCTTTGCATGCGAAACACAAAGATTTGGAGCTTCTGTGTTCAGGGCTCACCATTTGCCAGTCTTTTTCTGCATGGTTTACTCCCAGGAACTCAAAAAAAGAAGCAAATCCTTCATTTAGCCACAAGTCTTCCCACCAGTCCATGGTCACGATATTTCCAAACCACTGAAATTATAAGCAATAAAGAGATAATCAAGTGCTTATGATTATAATAGAGAGGCCTAGAAAGTTTCAAAATATTTATTTGTTCATGAAAATTTTGTCACAGTGACACAGAAGTGGCAGGCATTGTGATTAATGCTTATTTCCTGACTTATCTTGATCTTAAAGATACTAAATTCTTCTTAGTTTATTGCCTTTATTAAGATATTACTGAGAATATATAAATTCATAGGAAGACCTCTTTTGTATTCCCTAAAGGCAAAACAATGTGTTTTAAAGTTTGTGGTTAAATTTTTTTATAATTTATTTTTAGAGTTAGGGTCTTGCTCTGTCACCCAGGTAGAAGTGCAATAGTGTAATCATGGCTCACTGCAACCTTAAACTCCTGGGCTCAAGAGATCATTCTGCCTCAGTTCCCCACTTCCGACTAAGTAGGACTACAGGCATGAGCCACCATGCCTGGCTAATTGATTTTTACGTTTTGGGGGATTTTTTTTTGAGTCGGAGTCTCACTCTGTTGCCCAGGCTGAAGTGCAGTGGCACGCTCACAGCCACCGCAGCCTCGACCTGCCAGGCTCAGGTGATCCTTCTGCTTCAACTTTCCAAGTAGCTGTAACTACAGGTACATGCTACCATGCCCAGCTTATTTTTTATTTTATTTTTTATTTATTGTAGAGACTAGGTCTCACCAAGTTGCCCAGGTTGGTCTCGAGCCCCTGAGCTTAGGCCATCCTCTCGCCTCGGCCTCCCAAAGTACTGGGATTACAGGCTTGAGCCACCGCGCGTGTGGCCTGATTTTTAAGTTTTTAAGAGATGAGGGTCTCTCTGTGTTGTGCAGGCTGGTCTCAAGCTACCAGCCTCAGGCAAACCCCCTACCTCAACCTCCCATATCACTGCGATTATAGGCGTGTTCCACCACACCAGATTTCTTTATGGTTAAATGTTTATTGGTGCTAAGAAAGATTTTTATGCAAATTTGTTTGAGTTGGTTCTTTTTTATTTGCTAAGTCATAATTTGAATTATTCCTGTGGTCTTAAGCTACTTTAAAATACAAGCTGATTTGATGCAACAATGCTATACCTGATGCACAAGTTCATGAGCAACCACAGTGGCCACTCTCTGTTGGTTTGATGAGGCTGATTCATTGGGGTCATACAGCAGGTTGGTTTCTCTGTAAGTGATGAGTCCCCAGTTCTCCATAGCACCCGTGCCAAAATCTGGAATAGCGATTTTATCTATGGAAAAAGAGATTCCAGTGAGAAGTACATTCTTTCCATTTGTTCATAGCATGTCTTACCAAATTAAGTTCTTTGGAAGAATGTTTTTAAAAAGGCTAAAAATAATCTCTTTGAGTGAAAAACAGTAATAATTTGTGCAAACATCTCAGTCCTAATGCACTCAAGATATCCATGGAGTTTTTCCTGTTGGCTCAGATATCATCTTTTTTTTTTTTTTTTTTTTAAGGGACACTAATGGCAATGCTCTTTACAAGGCTTCCATAATTTTGTGTCTTTTATTCCTCTCTGCACTCCACTTTTATTAGCTTTCTTTTCCTCATCATTTTCATTAAGTAATAGGGAGCATCTGTTTTGGGAGACACACTGTGAAGAAAAAGAGAATGAAGTTTTCAAATGAAGGCTTCAAAGGTCAGAGCTTCTAAGTGCACAGAAATAGATTTCTATCCAAGGATACAGAATATGAGAGAATATAAAATTCTGTCTTTCAAAGGGAGGTTCAAACTTTACCTGTACAATGACCACTTGTATATCTAATCCTGAATTGTACCCCACATCTTTAAAATAAAAAAATTAAAAGTTAAAAAAACTATTTTTTTCTCAAATTTTATAGAATTTGAGGTCAACTTGATTCTCTACCGATCTAATAGCTCACTATTCACTTATATGTATTAAATAAGTTGCATAAACATGCAATTGACTATATTCTCTCTAAATTCCCTTTCAGTTCTAAAATGTTGGAATCTATGAGGCGTTTCTATTCTTTATTCTTGCCAGGGCCTATAGCCTTAGATGTGATAGCTGACAGGAGGAGGCACTGTTGATCAGTTCTAGGTTAAATTCCCAAACAGAAAATGTTAGTTGACTAACGGGCAAAATGAACTATAATCAGAATGTAACTTCTTCATTTATTACATATTATTTAAATTGAATTTTCACTTAACATATAAGAAAAAGCCCTTTCTTTCTGGCTAAAATAATTATTCTTAAAGCTTTTTATTAAAGAATGAAAAGGGCTATACCTTAAATAGAGATTAAGATTACAATAGCAGTGTCCTTTTTATAACATCTTTATTTTTAGGTTTGGTTATTTTATCACAAGAATATCGCTTAAAGGGTAAAAAAGTATCTCCCCAAGGGCCATTCTTTTTCATAATGTTGTGGAGTGTAATTTGCAACTAATCCTTGAACAAAAATTTCTTTTGTAACTTCACGTATCCAGTAAGTATTGGCATTATAATTAATTAACCCCTATGTTCCATTTAACTTTTTGGAGTATAATAAATTCAGAAGTCATTTCTAAGGAGACTAAGACTTAATTATGAAAGTGTTGGAAATGCACTAAAAGAGCATGAAGAGGGAGTGGGGAAGGAGGAGGAAAGAAAAAGAAAAGGGAGAGAGAAATTTGTGATATTTCCACTTCCCAGTTTATCCTGGATAGTACAGTGAGATAAAGGGGGAAAGGCCTTTAAATTCATGGGCTTAACGTGTTGTTAAATATTTTTCTCATTTTGATGAAAAGTTGTCTCTCTTTCCAACTCTTTCTCTAATAGTTGTTAAGCAGACAAAATATTGAACTGTTTCCACCAAAGAGAAAACGCAGTATCTTCAAATGTACTCAGAGCCACATATAGGGAATTTGGCATGCCGTTGCTTTGTAGCGATAATTTATTAAAGTAAAGACAGAAACAGAAATAAAGGAACCAACCATTGGTTGATTTTTCTTACTAATGCCATTATTTCATCCCTGTAAACACTTATATGAATGTTATATTTAACGTCGTTCTCAAGCCTTTTCGTTTTTTTTTTTTTAGAGATAAGGATCTGGTTATATTGCTCAGGCTGGTTTCAAACTCCTGGTCTCGAGCAATACTTCCACCTCAGCCTCCTGAGTTGCTGGGATTACCAGCATGAGTCACTGCACCCACCCACTCTCAAAGATATTAATAAAGCATTTCTGATATTAATACAAGGGTCATATCCACACTGTTTTGGTTATGGCCCAAATTTGTCTTAAAAAGAAAGCACGACTCCCCTCATATTAGATACATCTTTTTTCTGTAAGAGCACTAGTGTTTCATTTTAACTGTTGGAGAATCTAGAATTTGTCTTGTACAATAATGGAAAGATTGGAAGCACCTGGGACTCTTACAATATCATTTATCCCTATTGTTTTCCATCTCATTGATGATAGGGAGACAATGTAGGCTGCTCGGACAGGTACAGCCTACCATGTCTGGCTCCATCATTATCAAGCTCTGCAGTTTTATGCACATAATTTTATCTTTATTTGGAAATAAAAGACTAGGTTTATCAGGTAAGAGTAAGGTACAGACATTATTCTTGGAAGAATCCAGAATAGATCTTTCAGCATCTAGTAAGTGTTAGACACATATAGCAGGCATATAATAAAAGGATTCAGGGATGACAATTAATGGTGATAAAACTGGAGGAAGTGAATGAACTTAGATGAAAACAAAGGCAGTATTAAAAACAAGAAAATAAAAATGACTCTCACCTAATTTAGGAAGAGAATAATTCATAGCAAAGTATTCTTCAAAATAATCAAACACACTTTTAGTTATGTCTGCAGCATATTCAGCTGTGTGCCTTTGCTGTGGCTGGACATAAATTGTGAGCTATTAAAACACAAAAAAAAAATCAGTGAAAATTATTCTTCATTCAATAAAACACAAAAACTGTGATACATGACATACTTGAAAGAAAGTAGGTTTTAGAGCCAAATAAGTCTAATTTGAATTCCAGTTCTGCCTCCTACAAGCCATGTTGTCTCGGATAAATCACTTCACATCTCTGAGACTCTGAGGAATTTCATGTAGAAGGACAATAAAATTTCACAACCGAGTGATTTTAATGACTAGAAATAATGTAAGATACAATGGTTGGCACAGTGTCCTAGAGAGTTGAAAAATGTTACTTTTCTCTACTTAGAACATATATTAATATCTAGGAATTTATCTATGTATCTGTCTATACATCCATCTATCTACCCATCCATTTCTCTCTCTCTCTCTCTCTCTCTCTCTCTCTCTCTGTGTGTAGTTTGTCTTTCAGGAATTAAATTTATGTAATTTTTCTAATCTAAAAAACCCTTGTTTTCCACTTGTGCTATTCTATCTAGTTATTCCAAATTACCCTTCTAATATTTCAACTATTCTGCTTCCAGAGTCTAAAATATAATGATCCAAGTCATCTTGGTAAGCTACATCAATTCTCTAAGTCACTAGTGTATTACTTTATTCCCCTGACATAATTTATATAGCAAATCAAGTATAGACTGTTTTCCCCTGATTCTAAGCATGCATCACTTTGTAAAAAGTTACCAAGAATACTCTTAAACACAGTGTTGTTTAAAAGTAGATGTATTACCATAATATTATAAGAAAGGGATTGGCAGTAGTGGGAAACCGTAGTGGGGGGGCGGGGGATCAGCAGTTGAAGGAAACTGCCAGGAGAGGGAGGGGCACACCTCATCAACAAGGGTATCTGCATAATCATCATTTGTATACCTAACCCTGAATTGTACCCAACATCTTTAAAATAAAAGAAAACAAAAACAAAGAGATAAAGTAGACGTGGTCCTTGGACACTAGGGTTTATGCACAAGAATATCATAGGTATTTAGACACTTCTCAGTATGTGAAAGAGGAAAAGATGCCTCAGACAACTAGTGTCTGCTAAAAGGTTGTGAGAACTTTGAATAAAATGCTTGCCTGCTAAGTCTGAAACCTGATTCAAAACCCTCAAATAAAGCAAAAGATACAGTCATTTAGTAAGTTCAAGACCAGTTACCTAACTGGACCAGGTGACTCAAGATTTAAAAAAAGAAAGAGAGAAACAATACCTACTCTCTTTATTATTCCCAATGCATTGCTAGTTTTGCTATTTATTTAGGCATACATTATGAGCCATTTTTTCTTAGAAGTAAAGAACTCTAGGAAAGATTCAATAATTTAAAGAACAAATTCTGAAAGAGCATCCCTTAAATTACCAGCACTGGCTCACTGCTCTCATATCCACTGGGCAACTGACATTCTTGCCTTATTTACATAAATAAAGATGTGTTCATCTTCACCTTTAGAAACAACACAACTCACTCAATAATGTTAACATTCTTTGAGTTTTTTTATTTTTTACTTGCCAGGAGTAATGATATGTTTCTTTTTTCTTTTTCTTTTTCTTTTTTGAGTTGGAGTCTCAATCTGTCACCCAGGCTGGAATGTAGTGGCACACTCACAGTCACCCCAGCATTGACCTGCTGGGCTTAGGTGATCCTTCCACCTCAGCCTTCTAAGTAACTGGAACTATAGGCACGTGCTACCACGCCTGACTAATTTTTTGGGGGGGGTATTTATTGTAGAAATGAGGTCTTGCCAAACTGACCAGGCTGTTCTTGAACCAGTGGGCTCTGGCAATCCACTTACCTCAGCCTCCCAAAGTGCTGGGATTACAGGTTTGAGCTACCACACCGGGCCCAGTATATTTTTTCTGATAATTGTTAAGCAATCTGAAAAAGAACTGTCATGCGTTTTCCAAGATGTTAAGTGAAACTAAGGACCCAGATGGTGGCCACTGAACAGGGCAAAGGTAATTGCCCATATGAGATCAAAATTACCATGTTCATACAGGATTGCCATGTCATAAACTGAGAGTCTCAGAATTTTTCCTCTATAACTAATTAATGGGTCAAACTCTGAGATTTTCTAGTACATTTGTTCTCTACCTTAGAAACGTCAGGAAGGTTCTGAAGTGTGGTCCGCCATGTGCTCTTTGAGCTATGGTCGCCGTCTCGTTTTTCTAAGCTTTGGCCCCCTCCCCTATCTTGGGGAGGTGACTCTCCTCTCTTGCTTTCTAACTTACCTTCTAAATAAACTATATTTTCCAATCTAAAAAAGAATTTAAAACTTCAGGAAGTGACCCACTCCACTCTTGTCTATACATTCAGTGTTTTTGTGCTGCTCATAGCATTTTGGGAAGTGAAGAGGGTGGAGAAAGAAAAACAGGTAATAGTGAGACCTACCACTGTGGGAGGAACAATGGGGAGGAGAGAAACAGTGTGCTCTTTCTACCTGAATTTCATTTCTCTGCTGGCAGATGGATGCCCTTTAAGCAACATGCTTCTGAGACAATATAATCTATTTTTCTCACTCTGTGTTTCTGTTGGTGACGGTTGGAAGGTGATATCTTTAAATAAGATTGGGGTTAGTGTAAATTCAATCAAAACAAAAGCAGTCTCTTCCTCCTCTGTTTCTGAGAAGCTCAACCTCACAGAACTACGCTCTGTCTTTACAGCTTGGTAGGTCTACAGATCACCTGTGATAACTGACCCTTCAAAACCAGTGTCATACATCTTATGACCATGACTTTGATCAACTGAGCTAAGAAATCACAGAATATATAGAAACAGTTCATTGATTATGTAACATAAGCCAGCTCGGTGGCTCAGCCTGTAATCCCGTGCCTTTGGGAGGCTGAGGTATGTGGATTGCCTGAGCCCGCGGGTTCGAGACCCACCTGGGCAACTTGGTGAGACCTCATCTCTACAATAAATCAAAAATTAGCCGGGTGTGGTAGCGCGCGCCTGTAGTTCCAGCTACTTGGAAGGCTGAGCGGGAAGGATCGCCGAGCCCAGCAGGTCGGTCGAGGCTGCGGTGGCTGGGAGCGGCCACTGCACTCCAGTCTGGGCAACAGGGTGAGACTCCAGCTCAAAAAAAAAAAAAATTATGTGACATAATTAGCCAAAGTGTATCTGTGAGTGTGTCTTACATGCCATTTATCACAAACATTTTTACATTAAAGAACCCGCCAAAATGCCACCATTTTCTGTCATTTGAAGCTCCAGAACAGTTTCTGTGGCATCTCTTTAACAGCAGAACATCTGGGATGTTTGGACTTGGTGACTTTGAAAGCATCTTCCCCTGTGCTGCCTTCCCTCATCCTTAGCTGTACCTTTCCTTCTCTCTGACCTCACTTTCAATACATGTTCCATCTGCACCCCCCTCTTCCTCCTCTGGGCTTCTGCAGGGGTGGTGAACTCTCCTCCATTATCTGCTCAGCACTTCTGTCCAGGACCACGTTTAGTGAATTACCCCTGAATTGTCATTACTTTTTAATAATTCCTATCTTTCTCGTTTACATGCTTACTTTACTGAGATGATTTTTTTTTAAGTGCTTGACTAGCCATATTGAAATAATATGGAATGCCAGGCACAGTGGTTCACGCCTATAATCCCAGCACTTTGGGAGGCCAAAGTGAGAGGATTTCCTAAGCCCAGAGGTTCGAGACCAGCCTGAGAAACTTGGCAAGACCTCATCTCCACAATAAATCAAAAAATAAGCCAGGCATGCTGGCATATGCCTGTAGTTCCAGCTACTTGGAAGACTGAGGTGGAAGGATCACCTGAGCCCAGCAGATCAAGGCTGTGGTGGCCATGAGCATGCCACTGCACTCCAGCTTGGATGACAGAGTGAGAGACTTCAACTCAAAAAAAAAAAAAAAAAGGAAATAATATGGAGTAAGGAGGTATATATACTTGTACATGTCTTTTCTTTATCTTCTCAAAGAGTTCTATATGCCTTTATTATTCAAGGACCTATTAAAAGTTAAATATAAAGTTTATATATAAAGTTTATGGGGTCAGGTTTGGTGGCTCAAGCCTGTAATACCAGCACTTTGGGAAGCCTAAGTGAAAAGATCACCTGAGCTCAGGGATTCAAGACCAGCCTGGGCAACTTGGTGAGACATCATCTCTACAATAAATCAAAAAATAAGCTGGGCGTGGTGGCACACGCCTATAGTTCCAGCTGCTTGGAAGGATGAGGTGGAACAATCACCTGAGCCCAGCAGGTCAAGTCTGCAGTAGCTGTGAACGTGCCACTGCACTCCAGCCTGGGTGACAGTGAGACTCTGACTCAAAAAAAAAAAAAAAAAAAAAAGAGGAAAGGATGGTTTCTTAAGCATAAAGTTTATAGCTTCCTCTGTAAACTTTATATGTAAATATAAAATCTGTAAGGTCAAGAATCTAATTTATATATACATATACACTTATAGTATATATACACTTTTTAAAGACAGTAAGTTTCTTAAGTTAAATTACCTGGACATACCACTGTTACACACTATTAGTTATATCTCAGAGCATTAATTCTATTAAGCTAGTATCAGTGGTAAAAATCTGGGCTTTCTAAAGTCTACATTCAGTTGATTCTTCCTTTGGGAGGTAGGATACACCTGCTTTATCACTGTTGTTGTGTTTCCCTTATCATATTGCAGCCTACCATAAAATAGATGCTTAGAGTTACTAATATTATCCCTTTCATTCAAGTATCTCCAGTCATTTTAGAACTAGGACTTAGGTCCAAGAGAATTGATTCCTGGTTGATTGCTCTTACTCCTTTCATGTGTCCCTTTGCTAGACTTACATGACTTGACAATCATGACCAGATCCACTAGATCAACTTCCCTTGAACAACTTAATGAGCCCTGCACCATGTTTATGTTAAATGATTATTTATGTTTCTGCAGCCAAGCCAAGTACAAGGATCAGCAAGGTAACTACAATGATTACCTATTAGTCTTGTTGAGTCTTTAAATGTTCTCAGGTTATGTGATGAATAC